GAATGGCCTTGATGGGGCATTGGCAGCAAATCACAGTGGTGGCTCAAAGCCAGTTCTTTTTTATACATGCATGTCTACCCGGTATTATTATTATTTATTGTTTTGATCTTCTTTTACTCTGGTACACGGTGTTTCTCCTTGCCAGGCTGCAGTGCACGACATGCATTAACTTTTAAAGTATCACTGTTGTTGTTTTCCCACACTGTCTGTAAATATATTCCAGACTGACATCTCAGTGTGCGCTGCTGCTCCCACTGTATCCTGTAAAAACAGGTAGCTGAAGTTTCGACATGAATGTTTGCTCCCATGTGTAATTCCAGGCATACACAGGCCCTTCAGCGTCCACACAGTGGAAATCCATGTTAGTTTTTTCTCATGATTAGTTATACTATATGTATGTATATGATAGAGCATGGGTATTTAAGACATAATCTTTATTCAAATTATTTTAATATTTATAAAATAAGCATTGCAGTATGATGCAAAATAATAACAGTTGGGTATGTAGGTTGGAAGACAGGGACATTTTTTTCAGCTGATTGATTCCTCTGGCTTTTATCAGGCCAATATATGTTGGCACATTGTTGAACAGAAAATACATCTAGAAGTTACAGATTGCTACTATTACTGGTTGGTCTAGAAAATGCCAAAATTATGTTTTGCAGATTACTACAAAATATTTTGTGTTACATTGGCCCATAAAGTCCAGCAGATGATGAATGAAATGAGTCGGCAGAGTAAAAATGTAGCAACCAGGAGAGAAAAACTTGCAGTATTTGAAGAAAATGATGTTGAGTCAGATTGAGGTTGTCAGCTGTGAATCTTTGGGAGTGCCGGTGTGAGTGAGTTCACACCGGCTCAACCTCACACTACATTAGTTTAAATGTTTTTTTTTTTGTTCCCAAGCAATATACTTTAAATTGATAATAGGGCTGTAAAGAAAACAATGTAAATGCGAAACTGGTGCAGTCACTGAGTGTGTAGAGGAATGGGTTAGTACAGTATGGTTGAATGCAAACCTGTGTCAAAGTTTTTCACTGGAAATTTCCTTTTACTGTAAATGAGTTAAATCTTTCTGTAGTTTCAATAATATAATTTTAAACTAAAACCAAACACAATGAATTCATGGGAAACAAAAGACAATAATTCCAGCAGTCATAGAAAATTAAACTTAGATTAGATTACTTTGGACAAATTAAAAGAACATACCCATGTGTAGAAACACACATTGGCCTTTCAGCTGTGGAGTTTAAAATCATATCCACAAACTGTCTGACAGTGTTTGCACATCAGTCTCAGCAGTGTTTGAGTAATGAGAGCACATTGTGTTTTTTAGCTGTCGTCTCTTCACACTCATTCAAGAACATCAGCCTTGTGAGTCAATGACAAGCAGCAACATATTACGGCCATCAGTAATTTAGCTTTGGCAGGTTATCAACTTCTTTTGGCAAAGTTAGAAACTATTTTTTTTTCTCTCCTATTGTGGTGCATAGTGGCTCTGTGGGAACACCTTCAATTTCGTGGTACTCCCGTGTTACAATGACAATAAAAGCTATTCTATTCTATTTTAATTAGTCCCACTAAATCCCACTTTTCAGGTCAGCTGAGATTGGTTCCACCATTCCCCATGTGGGGAACCACTTCATGCACGATGAAGTGGTTAAAAAAAGGTGAAATGTGTATTTGGTGCAGATTTTCTACTAGAAGTATTTCCTGATGTATCTTCTTATTTATCAGTGTTTTGATAGACTGAAGGAGAACACACTGTTGCCCCCGCATCGGTAGATATAAAAAGTAACTTTGGGTAAAGTCTCCTGCTCAGGCAGACCATATACACAGAAGCAACAGAGCCCGGAATAGATCTTTGACCTTCCAGCTGAAAGACAACCTGCTCCACTCCCTGACCCACAATTCCACACCAAATGTCCAGAGTTGTCTGGACATATTTAAACAAAATCATAAAATCTTTATCATGAATATCAATTAAACCTGAAACTGAATTTATTACACAAAAATGTAGCTCACCCTCCCACTCCTGCAGGTACTCCTGTCAGTTAACATTTACAGAGAAACACGCACCTGCTAACATGTACTTTTAACTGTTGTTTATATCAGAATAACCTTGTAATCTTGGGGGTTTTTTTGTGCCATGTAAATTTACAGGTATAAAACCACAAGAAGAAAGAAAAAAAAAAAGAAAGAAAATAGGTAAAATGATTTATCATTTTCATGGTAAGGCACCATAGGACTGAAGTAACCAGTCTAATTATATTTAATCCATGAGTGACAGTATTATAAATGTCACTGGCTAAAACTCATATACATGCATTGACATAATGGTGCTCCATGGATCCAAAGGGATATGAGGCAAACTGTGTAGGTGTTCATTAATTGCTTTTATAGGCTCCTGATTGCCCATTTTAGTCAACTTATACTTGACAGCATCTGGGACAACAGGAGCTAAAGGACTGGCAAGAGTGCGTGGGTTGTGACCATTTGAAGTAAACGTCGGGTTGACCAATGAACATGCTGCGATGAGCCCTCTCCTCAACTGAAACTCCAGAAAGGCAGATTATGTCCATTATGTCTTACATGTGGGTGTGAGAGGTAAACTAGTGGTGATTTAATAGAGAGCTGCATTTCACCTCTGAATTACTGCAATGTGAATCACAAGATTTATTTTAAATAATCAGATATCAAATCATCTAAAGTGAGAACTTAAACCTACACATGTGGCACCAGATTTGAAGTGAGTGGAATCTCTCCATCTGTCAAGTTGGTGTTAGTCATCTGTGGATCAAGAGAACTGTGCCTTTGATTGGAAGAAAATCAATGTGTGCTCTGTGGAGGCTTTTCTCTGCGGGCTCATGGTGTATTGAAAAGAATCGTGTCTGACAAAGAAATCTACAGAAGCAAAAATATATCCCCACCACAATCCCATTTTTTTTTATTGCACACTATCACCTAACAGGAACCGAAAAAGCTGTTAGACAGCCCAACACCAGATTCTGTCTGGCAAATATCAAGTAAACACGACTCCTAAGTCAAGGCTTTTGCTTCTCTCTCTTTTTACTTTGTTGTGTCAGAGCGAGGCATGTGGGCCCTGCTGAGGAAGTACAAAAAAAGAGGGGAAAAGCACATAAAACGTGTGATGACGGTAAACACCCAAAGCAATATAACTGTCTCAGTAGTGGTCAGCCCGGGCACTGAGCTCTGCTGACATGTGAAAGGTACTGCAATGAATGCTGGCAGTGACACAAAGGGAGTTTGCTGGAAACCAAACAACTTGGTGAGACATTAAAAAAAAAAAGTCTCGCAGTAGAAGAGGGTCAGAGGTGTTTAAGAGGAAAAAGTAGGTAAAGATAAAAGGATGAGACCAATGTGGACAATGAGCTCCTGGGAAACGGGGCAGATTGGACGATACAGGAAAAATTCAAAGGTGTTGTGATTCGTCCTGGACTTTGAGAGACAGCTACACACACACACACACACAGCTGTGTGTGACACTGTACACATACAAATGTCTGACCTGTAAAAGTCTCTTTCTCATTTCCCTCTCTCCATCTCACTCTTTCTCACACACACACACACACATACTGGAAACACCTGGCTGCATACATTACATGGATACAAAATAGAATGAATTCTCTGCCTGTTCTTTCCTTCCACACATGAACTCACTCTCTTTATGCCCACACACACACACACATACTTGAGCATCAACTTTTGTGATGTCCAATAATTAGCAGAGCTGCCCAGAACCTTAGCCCTAACCCTTACTGAAACCAGTTAATGTGTCATCCTCTGCTACTGTAACTGCAATTCACATTTTATTCCAACTTTTAGGAGAAACTCAGAAACTAATGTTATGCCTCATTAAGCCCAAGGTTCAGTGCCCATTGGGACTGCTGGTCCTAAAAAAACAGTAAAAATGCTAAAAATGGTCCTGGACTTTTTTCAAAAGTGCATACACACACAAACACATTTGAAGAGAGAAGGAGAGAAACTGGTAGACCTATGTCTGTGGGGACATCTTTGTTGTAAAAACGGGCAGGGGTGGCTTGGTGGTTAATGGAGAGGACTTGGGTCCAGAGGGTTGCAGGTTTGAGTCCAGCAGCTGCCGGTTGCATGGTGAAATGCAAAGGTCAGATTTCGTGGTGCGCTGTGTCACAACGACAAGTGCTTCACTTTCATTTCAAATATGCTGTTGTTGTGGGGACACATCCTTTTGTACGTCCTTTTGTAGTCATTTTTCAGGTTTTCAGGTTAAACGAGTTTCCATTAAGTTTTAGTTAGGATTGGAATAAGGGTCTGATTAGAGTTTGGATTTAGTCATATGTTTGTAATTAAGATTAGAGTAACGAACTAGAGAAAGGATTATGTCTCTAAAGTGCTTAAAAAACACTGAAATGGTGTGTGTTAGTGTGCGCAGAGAGAGGGAGGGGGAAAAAGGGAGAGAGACAGAGAGAGAAGAAGGAAGACAGGCGTTCAATGAGAAATAAAGAGAGACGGTAAGAGAAACAATAGGAGACAAAATAGGAGATGAAAAGAAGAGGGTATGAAAAAGAGAGAGACAAAGGGGAGTCGGGGCTCAGACGGAGGAATGAGGGAAGGAAAGAGAGAGTGAAACAGAGATATGGCTTGAGGAGAGAGGGTGAGGGGAGAAAGAGAGGACAACATACAGCAAGTTTAAGGCTGAAAGAAAGAGAAAGACTAGACTGAGAACAGGCAGAGGAGAAAGGGGGGCAGAGTCAAAGAGAGTAAAAGGGAGATGGAGAGGGTGGGAGAGAGAGAGAGAGAGAGAGAGAGAGAGAGAGGAGCGGAGGAAAGAAGAGACATAGAGGAGGAGGCAGAGAGATTTTCAGAGGCAGGGGAGGGAATAATGTAGAGAGGGTTTAGCAACACTTGGATGAAGGATTCCACTGAAGCGAGGAGGGACTTTCAAATGTAGGATCAGGGAGAACGCTCTCAGGTTTTCCTTGCTCTCTCACACACACTAGACTTAAGAACAAGAGAAGGAGATGGACGTCTGGAGGCAGGGGAAACACTGGAGCCAACTGGGCTGACAGGGAGTGACAGATGTGACCTCTACTGGCTGCTGAAACTCCACTGACCATCCTGACCAGAGCACACCATCATGACTGACCTCCATCTCTGAGCTCCCGCAGAAGTTGGAGGACAAGCAGAGTTCACACAGAGTTGGAAACTAGATAACAAACCATGGATCTGTACAAATATTTAGGCTTACTCGTCTTCATTCTTCCTGCAGAAGGTAAAAACATGATACAGTCATTTCTCTTTAACTTGTTTTACTGTAAGAGACAAGTAATGTAAATTTTATTCCCATAATGCATGAAATGTGGTTCTACAGTAGAAGTCAGTTTGACAAAGCAGTTTCTATACTCTATTCAGAAAGGCTGTCGTTCAGTGTTGGTGGTTATTCTTTTTTATGTGTCTGAGTTTACAGCAGTCTTCATTTTGAAGTTATCAAATACAAATACAAAAATATTTAAAAGACAATTGATTGACGTTACGCCCCCTCTCCTTCACTTCTGTTTGGTTGAGGTCTCTAATGAAGCGCTCGTCCCATTATTCATCAAAAGGGCACAGATTTCTACTGAAGGCAAATCTGACAAGATGAATAATAGTCACTGACAAAAACACACAACCTTGGGGACACACATGCACACACCAGAACAAATGTTTTCAGCTGCTTTCAGTTCAGTTACAGCCTTGGTTGCTTAGTGACCTGCTAACCAGCTTCTTCTGCCAGAAGCAATGTTCACCTGAATTGGAAAAAATAAATTTGCAGCTTGTGCATTATTGGCCTTTTGAGTACATAGATCAAATCTGGACAGAACTGGGGCCCTGTTGCTGTAGCACCACAGACTGGGTGACACTTGAAACCGTATGTTTATGTTTCCTATTAACGAACATGCTATAAATAATCTATTAGGTTTTTATTTGTTTGTACCAGACGGCAGTGTTACTTCAACACCATTCACTGATATTTGTTTTGTGTATCTAAAAAAAAAGTCACAAGAGTAAGATGGAGGACAATCAGAAAAGGATATCTTCACAGAGAAAAGTGTGTACATTTCTATTCAAAGGGAATATTTTGAATTTCAAATAAGTAACTTTTAAGTATTTTAACTATCTTCAATTTGTTTATTTAGAACCAAGGTTTTGTAAACAACATTTTTTAGAACACTGTCTTTTCATAATATATACACAGCATTCTGCATACATAAATATTTTTTAGATAATTAGAAACATGAAAGTCTCTTTTTAACAAATTATCAAGACTTTCTATTTATTCAAGTTTTTGTGGATTTGATGGTCTTTGGGCTGATACCCTGGTCTAGGGTTCACTCCACAGACTCATGTGTTGGTAATGGTAATTCATGTCGAAGCTTTGTCAGTAAGTCAGTAATCGCTGCCTTTTGAAGGTCATTCTCATTCACCTCTGAGATGTTGTCCTCATGTTGGACGTCAAAATGACAGTAGACCAGGTCTACATTTAACAACTCTCTCTAATTTTTTCAATACAGTTACTTTGAGATTTTCTTGTTCAGATTCAAATCAAGCATGACATACTGCCACCTTCATGTTTTAGTGCTGTATGTCTGAGGACTGTGTTCTTGGGGTCTGTGTCTCTCCCTTCTGTCTCAAAACCCATTTCACAAACCACAGAGTTCTAGTTTTGTATTAATTGATAATTAATTTTGTCTCATGTCAGGTTGGTCTCAATAATCATCAGTCTCGTTATTATGGTGAAATTGTTTTACCTGACCTTACATTTCATGTACCTTTCAGGCTTTAGGTGACAGTTTGATTTGATTTGATTTTCAAATCAATTTCCTGAAGAAAACTCCTGGAGGATGTTCTTTGCCTTTGCCAGATTTGTATTGTTGAGCATGTTTATCATAAATTGCTATTTTTTTAAAACTGCTGTATTGATAATGCGGGGCCATTTAAAGCAGCACTTGGTGAACACTTCAAAGAGAAATGAATGTTCTTGGAGAGTCTCATTTTCCTAACACTGACAGTCTGTACCAGTGGCATACAGTATATAATGTAGCTAAAATCATTTTTCCTGCACATATTACTTCTCTCACACAGATTCTTCCCTCCCAGCTCCACCAGCTCAACTTATTAGGTGCCCTGCTGCTTAAAATTCCACTGTGGCATTCATCTTTATTTATTGTGGAGTGCCCTGCTACAAATATTACCATTTGGGTTCTATAAACGTGTGTTGGTTAATATAGTGGAATGTATGGTTGGAAGTTTATTTGGAAAGATACTGAAATGTCCCATCTTTTTTGATGCCTGTGAATGTTTCATGCCGGTTCTGTTGTTTATTTGGTTAATCAGGAGAAAGTCTTTTAGTTAGTCATTAACCAGTTAATCAGTGCCTGTGTAAACCACCTGTAGGATTATGCAAAGAAGGGTGGGATTAAAAAGAGAGAAGAAGGGGAGAGAAACACGGGGGTCCGCTTGGAGAGCTAGTTGTTCAAAGGTCATCAGTACATTTTAAATGGTGATTTCCTATTTATTTTTTGTGTTAATATAAAATGTTCATGGGGTGGCAACATATACATGATTCTACAAATGCTGATTTATGTGTGGAGTGTGTTTATATTAGAGTTGTGGTTTGTGTGGTATGTACTGTATGAGGCTTAGTAAAGTTATGCTCATGGTGTCATTGGTGTTTAGGGAATGGATGACAGCTTAATCAAATTATAATTGAGTGACAGCTACAGCTACATTGTTTTCTCAATCTTTCAGCAGAAACTATTTTTTGTTGATATGATGTAACAAAAGTTACCATGGAGTCTCCTCTTTGTTTTGGAGTGTAAAAACATCTGAAGGCTTTCAGGTGTCTGAACATGTCGGACAGATTGAGGTGAGCTCACATAGTGGAAGCAGGATATGTATTTAGTTAATAACATATTGATTCTAAACTCTTAATTACTGGGCTGTCAGTTTAAGGGTGAGCGAAACGCAGCCTGCTTTAAGTTCAGTTTAATTGAACAAGCAGACCAGAAGATGCAAGGCCAGCAAGATGACAAAAAAAAAAAAAACACCTGTGTCGCTATTTTCAGGTTACGGATGAACAAAGGGAAAATTTTTGTCCCTGATACTGGAACTTTTTATCTCTGTGAAACTCTCTCCTTCTACACATTATGCAATGAACATTACGCAGTAAATGATAAGCTGGAGAGTCAGACTTAATCAAACAGCAGTGCAGCTGGTTGAATAAATCAAGGCCTGTGATGTATTGTCTTGTGTGAAAAAATACACAAAGCCATAAAAAATGTTTCAAATATATTGAAAGAGTGGAAGACAAAAGGCATTGTATACCGAAGGCCTTGGCACGACCCCCTGTCTCATTAATTGTTCCCAGATTTTGTTAGTTCATAGTCACTGCTATGTGAGCAGACTCTAAAAAAGGATGTTGGTTAGATGTGTGTGGTTATTCTCATCTGGTGAGAACAATCTTTAGGAGGAAGAGTCATCAGAGTAACCGTGATTAAGACGGGCAGAGGCAGAGGAGGTGACGGGGCTTAGGGCAGACTTGAAACGTCTCAACACGATTGCTCCATCTGCACATCTCCACAGATGTCCTCATGTTCAGATTCATCCACTCATCCTCTCCCCTCACACCCTCCCCTTCCTGTTTATCTCATCTCTCAGATGCGGTTCCGTGTAACCATACGCCACCTGTATAATAGAGGTCACTCTCCATTTGGATAACACTCTATATCTGCAACAGTGGATATTTTACAGTAAGACGCCAGCATCAGCCAAATCCAGTTTTGATGAGTGCACTGGAAATAGCAACCAATATCAATTTGAACATTTGGGGCTGAAGCAAATCAATAGCAACACACCAAATGTGCTGGTGAATAATCACTATTTGATCATATTTTTCTATAGTTCTCTTATTTTATTTCTCACAAAAATATTTTTTTCGGAGGACAAAAATACTCTCGAAGTTCAAACATAATAACACAAATAAATAGCGCGCCTGCCTCTCAAGCAGAGAGTCCTGTGTTCGATTCCCAGAGGAAACACACACCCACGATGGTGCCCCTTCTGTGTCAGTTGCAGACACTCACATTGTAAATTTCCCAATTGTGGGAGTCGGTTATTATTATTATTAGTTTTCGTCAACACCTCAATTCAACCTGATGTTAACCTTTTACATTCCAGGGTAGGGGAGCTACACCTAATTCACAGAGGCAACATATCCCAACTGTGAAAAAATCAGTCGACTCAAATTGGCACAGAGGAATGAAAAATGTGCATTGAAGTCCTGTGTCTTGATAAAACTGAGGGCAAATGAAAGGCAATGATTGAGCTTTTATAGAGTGTGACTAATTCTTTTTTATTCTCAGTTTGTTCCCAGGTTGCACCACATGCCCATGCTGAAGAGAGGCTTCTCAAGGATCTGTTTGCACATTATAATAAGCTCTCCAGGCCTGTGGAGAACACTTCAGACACAGTGCTCGTTCACTTTGGCCTGTCAATTGCCCAGCTTATTGATGTGGTGAGTAAATTCTCACAGCCGACGGCCAAAACGCCGCCACAAGACCTTTCTTAAGGGCCTATTTATTACCATGTTGTGTTAAAACGAAGTGCAAATAAATTCTCCTTTGCTTGTAGTATGATGACTCCAGCTCATAGTGTCAGCAAACAAGAGATACATTTGAATGAAAGTCTTTCCACAGAGGAAACAGAACCACAAGAGATTGAAACACCATTTTTCTTAATGTTTTACCAAATTAGGTTAGCTAATTCTGCAGCAAATACTGAAGATGGCATCCTTGGTATCTTCCTATCCTTATCAACTGGTTTAAAGTACAAGTGGGCAACAATGACTTTGCACTTGGAGGAGGTGTCTTAATGGTGACATATTGTCTACTGCCTGTACCACATAACAACAACACATTTTAGAATTCTGGTCAAGACACTGCTATGATGTAGTCTTGGAGCAGGCCTCAAGAAACAAAAGGTCAAGTGAGTTAACGCTGTTCTCCAGGAAATATCTGATATTTTGGATATTTATTACAGTTAGCCACTCAACACTGCTTTCCTTCACTCTGCTGTCTTAATATTAGGACTGTAAAACATTTTTAAATCTGATTCATCACAGGGTAGCTGTGAATTATTCATGATCAATCACAATTAATCATAATTAATCCAGATAAATCTTGGGTTCCTAAATATGACATGTATATTGATGGAACACATATGCAGCACAAATAATAACAGATGGATGTATGTGATTCACACCTTTTCACATCATTTGTGTGACTAATCAAATGAAAGGTAGCAAGAAGGTGTGTTTGTTTGTTTCCCAAATTAATTAACACAAGTAAAGTTTTAACTTTGACAGCTCTACTTATTATACTATATATACACACTTATTTACTCAAGATGGAGTTTCACAGTCATATTCAGTGACTCACTGAAAACTCTCTAACAAAACATTATTGATAGTATAGAAAGGTTGGTAAATTTATGATGTCTGTTGGAAATGAAAATATGTGCTGCAGAAAACAAAATGGTAAGAATGTATCCAAAAGTTAAAATATTTGCTAAAAAGATATTTCACAAATTGTGGTCTCCACTGCCATCTAAATGTAATGATTGTAATACATAATACTGTGTATGCATTTCAACAGAAAAAAAAGAACAAAAATGTGTCGCCTTTTGTGTTTTTGGAGAAATAGAAGCATTAGGGAAATGTCTGAGCCTGTAGGGCCTGAGCCTTTTAAAAATGTTCCTCCCTGAGCAATATAGTTAAATAGACCTGGCCCAGAATTTCAAACACACCTCTCTCTTTACAGGAGTAAATCATCATCATAACAACTTTTTGCAGCCATTTGGAGTCACGTACATTTTCCCAGTGAAGCCCAAAGACCCCATACCTTTATATGCACCTGCAGGAAGGATTCTGCAGGTTTTTTGTTTTAAAATTGCAATAACTGAGCGTTTCTCCCAATGCCAGAGAGTGAGATTTAGTGCTGGCTAAGAGTTAGTTTTTGACTCCTACATATTTTCTTCACTTAGCGTTGTGTCCTAGATGCTGCTGGAGATAGCAGATTGCCAGTAAAGCAACAGATGCAACGTTAAATTTTCTTCCTATTAAAAAAAATATTTTTGGTATGTTGCATAACTCACTTGTTTTTGTTGTGTGACAAATTCATTAACACGGCTGAAAAACTTGGAGATTAGAATGCAAAGAACATATACAGTAGGTCTCACATGTGTTCTTCTCTTTACAATTACAAAGGACGAGAAGAATCAGATGATGACTACAAACGTTTGGGTCAAGCAGGTATGTAGAGTTAAACATTACTGTCAACTATGAAGCTGCAGTTTTGTAAATATGATTGATGATGATGATGTTCTCCCTCAGGAATGGAATGACTACAAACTCCGCTGGGACCCAGAGGAATATGAGAATGTCACCTCCATACGTATACCCTCTGAGATTATCTGGAGGCCAGACATCGTCCTTTACAACAAGTAAGGATTGGTATCCATCTTGTCTGCTGTTTCACAGTCACGTGACAAAGAGGCTATTTTAGATATTCATAAAATAATATTGTTCATGATTGAGGGGGGAAACATAAAGATTGTGTTAATGTACCAGATGCCCTAACTTGTACTGTTGTCATAGAACAATTTAGCTTAAATAAATGTGAATAAGAGAGGATTTAATGGATTTGATTGCATGAAATGTCTCTGACATGATACAAAGCAATACATTAGGAATATAATTAGAAGATGTGTGCAGTTGAGTCGAGACAGATGAGTGCAGACAAAGCAAAAACCTTGGGGTGATCTGTACTTATTTTCCTCTGTGCAAATTAGTAAATATGGAGCAGGCAAAACAGAGCTGTCAAATTCACAAATCAAAAATGTAATTGCACTCTCTGATGATGAAATACCTGTGGCTCAGTCATTTATTTCCAAGAACCAAGGCCAACAAGGTGTGTTAATTTTAGGGGTGAAGCACATTTCATCCACAGGGTATTTCCACCATAAGACATATAGTGCACTTACATTAGTCCCAGTTAAATTGTGTTGTAGCCTGGCTGAGCTGGAGTGGGTTTAAATCAACAAAATGTGACTTTTTGTGTTTTAACACAGCAGGATGGAAGTGCAGTGTTAGTGATGATTCATTCACTGGGTTTGTGTCTGTGCTGCAGTAGATTTTGGTGCAGGTGTTATCTTCAGTCAGTACAGACAGCGGTCACACCAGAGGTCACTTCTTTGTCATGGTACCACGCACATGACAACATAAAACAACTTCAAAAAAAAGTTGCAGAGTTATGTGTCATGAATAAAAAGGCATGTAGCGAAAACAGAGGAAGATCAAACGTGATATTTTGAAACCCTATGTTCTGAATCACAAAATGTAGGAATTCTCTGAGAGTCAGGAGGAAAGTGCAAAGATTTGACATGTACTGAAAAGGTGAGGAGGGGTTATAAATACTTTTTAAAGTAACCTTTTCCTTTAACCAAACTGCTCAGACATTTTGAATAAAATGTTTCCTCAATCTACATGAGATTTGATTAATGTCAACCTCAGTGTAACACTCTAAAGGCTAAATTGATTCCTTTGTGTGATTCATTTGGTGTCCCTTCAGGAACTAGGTTGAAAGTGATAACTAGGTGATAACAAATTGGAAACTGACCCACAGGGTTCTCTTAAAATGTACCAGAAGAGATACAGGCAGAGAAGAATGACTGAATTAAACATGCCTGACTCTCTGTTCTCTGTATGAATGATGGATTTACATTGTGTTCTGTTGAAGAAAAAAATCAGAAAAAGATGAAAAATGTTTTATAGCAACATTATAAGCAGCACTAGACTTATTTTCCCAAAGAAGAATCACTTTGCAACCAGCAAACCAACTGTTTTGCCAACCAATAGCTACGTCATTTAATTTACATTCTATGATATGATCAACAGGTGTCTCATGCCTTGAGCAATGTAGGAGAAAATAACCAGATTATGTACAGACAAATAGAAAGGTGAGTGTTCCAGGAAGAGTTTTTAGCAGAAGATTGCAAAGCTGTTCTTGAAGCGCTCTGTGTTTCTTAACCTCTGATTGTCAGTTAGATGTCATACAGACTTTGATGTTCAGCCTTCAATCATTTGTGATGAGGCTGCAGAAAAAGACATTTTTCTGATCTTGGTCATTTTCTTTGTGATGTAAAATTTTAGTAGCAGACTTGGGCAGTTTCCATGACCACCGAGTTATTTGAACACCATGCCTGGAAATGTAATTTTTGTGTTTTCAGATACAATACAAGCTATTCCCAAAGGGCCTGACCCCTTTAAGGAGTCGTTGGTGTGTGAACAGCAATCTCAAGAAAGAGAAATGTCTGAATGCACAAAGGCGAAGGGGCTGGTCCAAGGACAGGACTATACCTCAAGGATTAGCTGTAATACTCTTGTAAAGACTCTAAAACTGTTCCCAGTTATATGTGTATGTTATCAGAGTATCAAACTGTCGAGAGTAGATTATCAATGTAAAAAGGATGACAGAAGACTTCTGTAAACAACTGCATGATAAAATCTACAATTTCCAGGCCTTCAATTTTTAGATATAATCAGAACTCCCATTTGTACGAAGAGAACTTCAAAAGCAAACAGCAGTCCCTTGCAAGAACAGTCATGATTCAGTCAAAGTACTTTTAACTTTTTTTTCTTTTAAACTTAAACAACGGAACAAAACCTCTGAGATTTTGGCACTAACTATATCCTGAGGAGAAATGCCTGAGAGAAGTTCACCTTGATGTAACTATAATTTTTATGGCTTAAGAAAACTTCTTAAATGCATTATCATTTAACACTTCTTTTTTTTCTTTTTTCACCTTTTTCTCCTTTACTGTCCTTTCCTCTGGTCTGCAGTGCTGATGGAGACTTTGCTGTAACTCACCTCACCAAAGCTCACCTGTTCTATGATGGTCAGATAAAGTGGATGCCACCAGCAATTTACAAATCCTCATGCAGCATAGATGTTACATTTTTCCCCTTTGACCAGCAAAGCTGCAAGATGAAATTTGGCTCCTGGACCTATGATCGTGCCAAGATTGACCTCATCAACATGGACAGTAACGTGGACCAGATGGACTACTGGGAGAGCGGCGAGTGGGTTATAATTAACGCAGTGGGCAAGTACAACACCAAAAAGTACGAGTGCTGCACAGAGATCTACGCTGACATCACTTACTACTTCATCATCCGGAGGCTGCCTCTGTTCTACACCATCAACCTCATCATCCCCTGTCTGCTCATCTCCTGCTTGACCGTTCTGGTGTTTTATTTGCCGTCACAGTGTGGAGAAAAGATCACCTTGTGCATCTCCGTGTTACTGTCTCTGACCGTGTTTCTCTTGCTGATCACAGAGATCATACCGTCTACGTCACTGGTTATTCCGCTGATTGGAGAATACCTGCTCTTCACCATGGTGTTTGTCACACTCTCCATTATTATAACAGTCTTTGTGTTAAATGTTCACCACCGATCCCCCAAAACCCACAGCATGCCTCAGTGGGTGAGGAGAATATTCCTGGACTTGGTCCCTCGAGTTCTCTTCATGAAGCGCCCACCGGGAACAGCAAAGCAACACTGCAAGAAGCTCATCGAGATGATTCACCATCCCACAGTCATATCGGCAACAGGCAACTCACAGGCATTTTGGACAGGCTTAGAGACAGGACTGAAACAGATGGCACAGGTGGAGAATACGCTGATAAAGACTCCTGATAGTCCAAGCATTGTTGTCTGCTCACCTTCTCCATCGTCTTCCCCACTTTCGGAGCAGACTGACGAAGATCATAAACCAAAGGCCAACATTTTCTGCCAGTCAACATTAAGTCAATATTCTTTTTTCTCGGATAGACAACTTCTACGTGGACACAACTCCACAACTTTGTCTTCTTCTCAGTTGTCCTTGCCTCCATCCTTACCCCTTGGCCCACTCCATAGCTTCTCCAAAGAAGAATCACACACCTTAGCTCCAAATGGCCGTTCCCACAGCGTGGAGCAAATGTGTGACCAGCAGAAGGAACTTTCACACAGAGTTGGGCAACATTGTCGCTCACGCAGTTTCCAGTGTTGCTGTCCACATGATGAGGCATCTGGTGGTATCAGGATATCAGAGCGGCCGAAGAAAAAGCCTCCCACAAGTCATCTTGGAGAAACCTTCTCATTAGAGCCTACTAAGGATGCCAGTACCCAGCAAGACAACTTAGTTGTATGTGTGTCTCCAGCTATGCAGCGGGCCATAGAAGGAGTTCAGTACATCGCTGATCATCTCAGGGCAGAGGACGCAGACTTCTCAGTAAGTTTATTTGTTTTGCTTTAATGGAGTCAAACATGTCACAGTTTGTCCAGCCACAATGAAACGATTAGGATATCTGTGATAAATATAGATGTCAACCCAACCAGAAATCCCCATAGACGAATCCATAGAAAATGGGATGCCGTGTGTGTGAATGGAAGTACACACCATGTAGCTAAATGTAGTGGTGTGAAGTACCTACAAAGTCATTTATAATGCAGCAAAATTCTTTGGTTCCCCTCTTTTGAATTTTACTGGACAATTGTACCAATGGTATTCCTCTAAGATTGGTCTTTGAGCTGCCAATTCACTGCTGTGTATGTTAATGAGTTTTACATTATTATTATTATTTCATTATTATGAAATGTGTATTTTCTTACTAGCAATTAGCATTTAAGTATTTAGCATTTGTCCTTTCTCATCTCAGACATAGCACAATTAGCTGTTTCATTAATGGATCTAGAGTAGTTCTGTAAAAGGTATCAAAAGAGTTCTGGCCAAATCTATTCATCATCATCGATCTTTGTGCATTATCTAAATCCACCCAAAGTCAAATCCAACCCAAATAACAGAATTTCAAGATCTGTCTGACCATAATGAAAAATTGACCATAATGATCTCTATGTGCACTGTTGGTCTTCAAAGTTACATTTATATATATATATTTGAATTAGAAACTGCTGAGAGGCTAAAAGTTTTCAAGTGCTGATTCAGTTTCTGAGTCTAAAAAAAGACTCTGTCTCTGTGCCATGGAAGGAGACGTCCCCTAATTATTCTGAAACCAGGAAGTTACGGTTTTCACTGTGACACTGTGGTTGTCAGAATCACACTGCACGATCTATGACTGACCATAAAATGCTGTGACATTGTAACAATGTGTCCTCTGTAATTTGACCTTAAACTTTCATTTGAAATACGTGCAAGGATTGACTGACATTTATGTGATAGCTGCCTCATAATGGGGTAAAAGCAGGTTAATAAAAGTGTAGTGTAGTGTAGTGTGAAATTGAAATGCTCCTCATTGTTGTGTTTTTTCTCTTGCCAGGTGAAGGAGGACTGGAAGTACGTGGCCATGGTCATTGACCGGATATTCCTTTGGATGTTTGTATTGGTTTGTATCCTGGGATCTGTGGGATTGTTTCTCCCTCCTTGGTTAGCTGGAATGATCTAGAACATTCCAACATTAAGAAAAGTAATGAACAATGACAGATGGGCAATGCCTTCCCGCACGATAGTTTCTTTTTCTTATTTATCATTTATCGTATCTATCTATTTTTATTAAAAGACCTACAAGTCACCCTCCTAGGACTCACCTTGAGGTTACTCATGAAGAAATGAGAAGAAATACCCATTGTTGATTCCACTGGGCCATATAAATTCTTTATGAGAGCCAGAAGGGCAACAGAAAAAAATATCTTTTCACACAAGTCCATTTCAACATAGAGTTATTTCTTGAGCTTTCGACTTTGTGGAAATTATGAAAAGTCTGTGAATGATGTAAAATCCTGGATAACAGTGGAAAGACAAAGGCATTGTGTGCTGCTGATAAATAAAATTGGTTTTGAACTCAATGTCAGTGTTCTAGTATCCTCAAGCAAATTTAACGAGACACTGATCTCACCAAATCCTCAAAATTATCTTGGAAACTTCAGAGTGTCAGAGCAGAAGGGAATTCTGGGAGGGATTTGCTGCGTGTTCAGGCGTGACATGTTTGTGCAGCGGTCATTGTCTGATCAAGGACACACAGATGTGTGCTTTTATAGTCATTACATGTGTTTGGTGTTTCTCACACGTAATTACATTGATTGGTTTTATTTTACAAATGTATTTAACAAAAACAACATTTTAGCAAACACATTTCATTTCTTAAAGGTGTTTTTATTCAACAGATATAAATATTTGCCCATTGTGGAACACTGAATGTTTTCAGAGCATTTTTATTATTATGTGTTTTCACTTCTAAATAATAACGGATTTGACTCAATGATAGTGGTGAAATCTTTGGCTATGGTGGTATGTGTTGCTAACTCTAATTGGATATGACGATAATTGTTGCTAACTTTGATTGGCTATAACCAGTGGTGCTGCCCCTGACTGATAGGGCCACAACAAATTAAATATTACACCAACATGTTAAATGATTAATTATTCTGATCCTAATCATAATCATAATAACAGTTATAGTGGATGATGCACAGTATGTAGATATATATAAATGTTCTCAAATGTGTTGCATGGGGCTCATCGTTGCATACTTTTTTTTGTATATAGAATTCCTGTCAACGTCCCTGGCTATGGTGATATGTGTTTCTATCTTTCTTCTTAATTTGTGCTAAATTATGTTATAACCTAGCTAACATTGACCAGTGCTTAATGTCCTGTTGAAATTTTATGCATCTTTGTTGATTATCTGATTATCTTGCATTTTCTTGCCCACTCAAGTCTACAGAGTATAGGCAAGTGTAATACGATAAGTTGGCCCTTTTTGATCACCAAATTGATTAGCCTTTCACTTCCCTGCACAAAGTGTCAAAATGATTTGGAATATTTGAGCAATTTTATGATCACTATTTAGCTAATACTGCTAATCTCTAAATGGGTCTAATTTGAAATATATATTTAATTCATGACTATGTACATAGCAAATACAGAATTGGGAATGAAACCTAGTCAAAACTTGTTTTTTATATGTTAAATATCTGTCTTTTCAATCAAGCCCATGGTGTTTGATGCAGTTCCAACCTAACAAAGATACAGTATCATGTAGTTTAAAGGCAAGTTACTTTACATCTGGATGCCCAGTGTGATTATTTCACTTTTGGCTCCTTCCAGTTTGCTATTGTATTTCTTCTGGCTCAGCAGTAGACAAGCCACTGATCACTATGTAAAACTATACACAGTGAGAAAATCGCAATTTAGCAAATTAGGGAAACATTCCCTCCTGAACAAGGTGAAATAGCACACAGGGCTTTATCATTATGCATTGATTTTTAGCTCATAATCTGCAGAGAAATACAGTACCGCGTTGACTTACCATATTCATACATACACACACATAATACCCCAAATATATTCCACTAATGTGAAAAAATATCTTAGGCAAGCATTCTCTCTGTAAACACGTATTCACATGAGCAGATATTACCATTTGTCCACCTGCTTCTCTCTGGAGAGTGAACGACATGCTATATTGTCAATTGAGTTCTAAATTAAAATGTGTGTGGTCGGTATGAGGTTACAAACTAATTTCCATTTAAACCCAAGATGGGTCTTCAGAGGATACATGGTGTTTGAATAACTTCATATCTCCAAAATGGTCCCACTTTATCAACTGCCACAAGAATATTAGAACCCATGTTATTAATTACATCCACTGTATATGCCAGGTTCATAAATTTACTATGCTCTTTCCTGCTACGTTTAACCAAGTGATTGTCTATGGTGGTATATTAGCTAAAGATTGGCTAATTAATCTGGACCAGGAAAAAACTAATTTAATAACTGCATTGTGTTGTTGTTTTTATGAATAACTCAATTGTGTCTCTCAGAATTGTCATTCCCTAGATGTCTACGAAGTGTCAAGATGGTACAATCCATAGATCCAAACCCCCACACTAGTTGTAATTCCTCTCACTCTGCTGGCAGGAACCAGAATACTTTCAGCTCACAAACCAAAACGGCTGGTTGTCATATTACCTTTCCAAAATAATTCAGGTCAAAAGCATAGATTGAAAATAAAATGTGTCCCACTTAAGCCATTTAGAGATGCCATTTTCATTGCAGTACTGCCAATGACGAGTGGGAGTTGGCCCCAAAACCAATATTTGTTTTAATATACAGTACATTTATTTAATAATCCATAACTATTTTCATTATTCTTACATCATATTAAAGACCCATGCCTGCCACTCCCCATCCCCCCATGTAACAGTAGTTAACAGAACAAGAGAGAGCACGACATTATCTGCCGTTAATGATAGACTCCTGCGACAATGCAAAAAAACGATAGGTACGATAGGTTTGATATGACAAATTTCCCAATTTCATGTTTCATTACTGTCAGGTATTATCACAGTTTGTGAGGCTGTTATGTTATGCATTATGTAATGTATTCATAACATGATTCAAATATATATACAGTAGTCTGATAAATGACATCTTTTACATTCACGCGCTGCAACAGTGGGGACCCAGGGTTGGTGTTTTCTCATCATAAGATGATTTTAGTTCTTTGTAAAGTGTAAGGTTGGACAGGAGTGACAGAAACTGAATCACAAATTGAGCTGAATGTGGACCAGCCATGTCAAAAGGAAGCTAGAGAGTGACTAATAGGTTCTCACCCAGTTCTGGAATCTTTTTATCATGGCACATTTTTTTCTAATCAGGTTTAGCCAAACGTACTTGTCGTCAGTCACAGTTGACGGTTGATGCTGTCACTTTGAGAATTTTAAAGGGATTTTTAAATATTTTGGAGTGCTCTTCCTTCAGTCTCAGTAAATGTCTGCCCGTCTAAAGATCTGAAGTACAGTATTGTAGTACACACTACAGTATATAAAATATAAAAACCTGTCCCCCTTTGTACAATAACAATACAATGTATGGATTTCACACAGTCTCACTCACTGAACCTGCTCTACATTCTGAGACCAGCCCGTGAGATCTGGTGGTCCCACATTCAGCTGTCTGAATTCCCAACGAAGACATCTGTCTCAGTAGCCAGCCAATCAATTCTCCCATTACAGCCCTCTAATCACATAATCCAGGCTCTGATGAAGTCTGGCTTAAATAGGCCAGAGTGAAGGCCAACATGTGACAGCTGTCCTACACCTGGACACACTGACAAATCGGCTGGTGGCTGGGAGACCCCAGGCTCACACAATGAGGTAAGACATGAAGCACACAGACCCCAGGGATCCTATTAAATCAACAACATACACTTTTGGTGCATTTCACCATTTCCCCCAGCAATCTGCAAAATTCAGTGCGATCACACCGGTCAGAACCAATCTGAATGTGCTGCTGCTCACACTGATGGGTGAGTGTGCATGGTTTCCCTGAGGGAACCAGGAGGAGGGATCATGATTTGTGTGTGTAGGTGCCCTCTGGTCTAACAATATTTCCTGAGAAAAAGGAGACATCGTACAAAGTACATGGTGTCTTCCTACTGCAACTATTGCTATAAAACTAGATGTTTGCCATGTACATACCCTCAGGGACAAAGTTGCTGACAGGCTGATGGTGGTGACACACTTGTCTGACAGTTTTGCCCTCTCAGCGTTTGTGCTGGTCTGATTGTTAAATATTAAAAATCTCATATTAAAGGCTGAAAATTCTCAACTATAGTTTTTTTTTAAAATATATATATTCCCGTTCAAATTACTTCCATTCGCAGTACTCCTGACACTGCATGTAGGAAAAGAGATAAAGAGAAATGCATCATATTAGTTTGGCCTCAGGTAACAGTTGGTCACCAGGCTCCAAGTTGTCATTTAAAGACCAGTTCTGCTCTTTCTGCTTTAGGGTTCCACCTTTAAATAAACCTCAGTTCCAGTTGCACTAAAGCATCCGCCTAACAATTATACTCCAAAATCTCTATCATTTACTGTGAGGATAATGTTCTGTAGGTTCTACATCTCTCCCTTCCTACTTCAAATTTAGGACGTGTAGTTTTAGTTTTGTTTTTTATGACTAAATTATAAACTTTTTCTTTTTTTCTAATCTGGTCTGGATGTGTTTCATCAGCAAAAGTGAAAATTGTGCCAAGTAATTCTCTGTCCTCTTAATAGATATTTCACAGTCTCTAAACGATTCTTTGGCATTCGTTGTAAATGAATTTGTTGGTAGCTTTTATTTTCTACCTGCCAGTTTTGTTCTTTACAGAGAGAATCTCTCTGTCATAGCAGATTTTACCCCTTTGGAAAGTTCTATTGTACATTTTTCTCCTGCTCTGTAAATGTCAAAGTGTTTCTGTTTAGGTCATAATGACATTTCAAGTGTTTGGTCAGTACATCAGAAAGTCATATAAATCAGCAGCATACTGCTGTTTTGCTGTAAACTTCAATAAATAAAGTAGATTGATGAGGACGCTTATAGCTTTGAGCTGGGTGTTGTGCCAACTTAGATTATCTCAGGCTTTTTAGATATGGCTAATATGTTACTGTTTTCTTTTTTGTCCACAGTGCACCTATCAAGAATTCAGCCTTTCCTAGGCTCTTCCAGTTGGCAAAGATGATGCAGTCTCCCTGCCCATCACCACAGGCAATATGTGTCAAAAAGTATGAGGGTAAGCTTCTCTCCAACATGATTTAATAAAGAGGTTATAGCCGTAGCTTTAAAGACAAGCAATACAAGCAGGGAAGACGGTGGACGAAAGAAAGAGACACACTTCAAAACTGTGATCAGGTCTCCTAACTCCAGAGGTTGTAGGTTTAAAATAAGTTGACTTTTGAATCTAGGTTTTCTGCACTCAGCATCAGAGCAGAGGTTTTTTTTAAGCACACCATCATTTTTAGCACAAACTATACATCTGGGTTACAAATACAAAGTCATCGCAGTGTTTCCCCTTCCATTAGGATTTAGGAGAGTGTTCTAAAGTATCACACACCCTGACCAGAAAGCCATAAACCCTGGGGAAACACCGAACACTTGACAAGAGTGATTGAAATCTTTCACCAGAAGACGTATGACAAAGAATAATTTAAAAACAATCCGGTCCCAAAGAAATATTTCTATTGCTTAAAAAAAAAAAAAAAAACCCAGACGTTTTAGTCAGCATTATACAGAGTGGCCCACTTTTTTTAATTACAAATAAAAAAAAAAATTGAACACATAATTATGTACTGTACAATTAAACATTAAAAGAAAAAGCAACACAAAAAATTATTGGTAACAGTATTCAGCACCAGGGGGGTGCAAAGCCCAGATGATGTCCAAAATATCTTAAAATACGGTATAGAAAAATCATGAAAACAAGCACAGCACGCAGACGAGGAGTATTTGTCTCCCAGTCCATTAACTGTTAGCTCAGAACTCAGTCATCTTCCTGTGAGTGTCTGCCTTCTTGTGCTCCCTCTGGATGGACAGCTCCTGGGCTTTCTGATGGGCCAGCAGCTTGTGGGCTGCTGACAGCTTCTCCTGCAGCTGCTTCACTATAGGAGTGCCCCTTTAAACAAAAACAAACACACACACACACACAGAGTTATGAGTAGAAAAGGGGGTCTAGGAGTTGGCAGTACTGGCATTCTGCAGAGAAAATACCTGAAACTCTTTATTTGCTATGTTTTATTTTAGTACTTAACTTTTCTCAACTTTTTTGCATCTCACTCTCTCTAGCAAAATATTTTCCAGGACATTTCTAGCGGTTGAATTGTCACTAAGTACTTAGTCCTAAAAACAGGGTCTGAAAAGTCACTTAATGTAGCAACAAGTCAAACTGGGAACTGGAAACTATAGTGCTGCTCTGAGCTGACATGCAATTTTTGATTAGCTGGCAACATAACTGTATGTGCGGCGGTACGCCTGCTTGAGGCACAGAGCTAATGTGCTCATTGAAGACAGTGTGGCAACAGACAAATATGCACATAACAATGCAGGGAGAAGTTGGAAGGGAAAAGAACTTTCTTGGATAACTTAAGTATTTCCAGGACATTTGAATTGTTTTTTTATATTCTGTATGTTTTCCATTACTGGAAAATCAGTCATTTGTTTTCTGGCTTTTCCAGGACGCATTGAAGCATTGAGCTGTGGGAGGTAGGAAGGAGAAACTATTTTCCAGGACAACATATTTGAATTGTTTTTCTTTTTCTGTTTTTCTGTATGACTAGAAAATGGTCTTTCATTTTCCAGGTTTTCCAGGCATGAGAACATTGTTAACCATTTTCACAACCTACTTTTGCTCACTTTTGTTTTTAAAAAGAAAAAGTGTATTTGTGTGTTTAGTATGGCATTTGAGTTCAATTGTCTCCAATGGACTGATATTAAATGAAACTTGGTGTATAAGGGCTGTGTTATTAACAAAGATCACATTCAAATAACAGTAGTCAGTACTAACCCTCCTGTGTGCCTCCTGAGTGCCTCACTCAGTCTGTGGATCTCCTTCTCAGTCTGTGAAACCCTTTGAGCAGCCTGGAACACCTTCACATTCAGATTCTTCTTGGTGTTCCCAGCCCCGGTGTAGGCCTCCACCCCAGTTGCGGTTGATGTTGCAGCAGCACCCTCTTCAGTATGACAGTTGCCCCCACCACCCAGCTTGTGATTGAGGAAGTCAAAGACGTTGTTCTGCCCTCCCCTGGCAGCTCTAGGCTTTCTGCGTTTCTTTGGCCGTCCGGTCAACGGGGAGTCCTTTGCGGCTTTGCCTTTGGTGCGTCTCTGTGTGAAGTCAGCGCACTCATCCAATGACTTTCCTTTGGGTAACACCACTGCCATGACGGGCTCCACTCGACCTTCTTTCTTTTTCCCCAACCCTAAGAAAACAAAAAAGAAGAGAAGAAGAGAAACTGATGAACAAACAATATCCCAGATGTATAACAAAACTGCTGAAATGTTCTTCAACATTTTTAAACATGATGGGAGGACTATTGTCATTACCTTTCCCATATTCATAACCCATTTTCAGCATGAGTTTGGATCCAATGCCTCTGGTATGTGCCTCCCATCCACCAAAATTAGATGTATCTACCATAATCGCTGATTCTCCAGCAGCATCCATGACTGTTGTGGAGCAAGAAAAAAAGACAGACCGTCAGTGCCTCTAGAATTTATTTAAGAAATTGGTTAGCACACAAATTGGGCTTTAGCCAAGATAATGAAAACTGCAAACACATTCCAACAGACCTTTTGCGTAGGCCAAATCATCCTCATCATATTCTTGGTCTGAATCAGAGGACAGTGCATCGTCTTCTCTCAAAGGTGGAATGACAGCATCAGCCTCAAGCACAGTGTCTTTAATTAGCAGCGAGTCAAACTTTACAGTGTAGAATCCGTTGTTTATTTCTGTGATGAGAATGAACATTTAGGTCAGGGAAACATGGTTATATAACCTAGTCTGCCTTTCATACTCAAAATTTGCATACTCAGTATTTCATTTACCCTTGTCTGTTAAATTGAACACAAGGCTAACATACTGTCAAGAACTGAAGACACATGAAGATCTTCAACAACTCTGAGACTCTTTTTAAAATTTCTATATCCATCTGCTGCCATCTAGTGGAAAAGTATTTAATCGTTCTGCCCGTCATTATTGCAACGACCAATGCAAACAAATTATTTTCAACAAATAAAGACCAATTAAATGAAATTGGATAATTATCCAGGGCACACCTGATGATTTCTCATGACAGAGATTTTGAATTACTTGTCGATGATGTGATCATATTTTGGCCATTCGAGTGAAATACCTTGGATTTTTGCTGGATACCAGATGCCGTCCTCGTGTCGAGCCAGGCAGGATGAGCCCTCTTCAAGATGACCAAGATCAAATTCCATGAACTCTCTGAGCTCTGACACATACACCACTTCACCATGAGAGAACCTTTAGTAAAAGTAAAATATCTTATAAATAATGCTCTGTATATAATACAACTGACAAAAGTTGGCTACTTTACTGAGTATTCCTGTAAAATAAATCAAACATGAGTTATTTGTAACAGACAAACATCTAAGCAACTGTGTTCGACTATGTTAATATAGTAATGGTAGGTAATTGAGTGAGATTCATTTTCCTTTCATCCTACTTTAATCATTTTTAACATCAGATGATCTTTAAGTACCAATTATTCATCATATTTTACCTGCAGTTATCAGGGAAGCGACATTTGTCCTCAAGATAGAAGGGACAAGGTTTCATAGACTTCTGGGTAGGGTAAAGGTAGAGCACTCTCACTTGTGTCTCTTCTCCATCTGCAGGCTCTCCTCCCACCACCATTGCATTATGATATTCCAGTGTTCCCCACGTTGTCCTGTACGGAGCTCTTACTTTAGTGCCACCAAGTGCATCCTCTTCATCTTCTTCCTCGACTTCATCTACTTCTGTGTTTTCGTCTTCATCATCTACACCACCACTCCCAGAGCCACTCCCTTCCCCCAGTTCAGAGTAAAAAGCATCAAACTCTGAGTTCAAATTGCTGTTTTCAGGTCCACTGTCTGTGGCTGTTTCTGGAGCAAATAGCTGTGGCTGTTCAAGGCTGGCCAGGAGCTGACTCTTTTTGACAGACACTAAACTGGCCTCTGTGAGTTCTATCAGCTGACATAGGTCATCTTTTAGTTTTATAAGATCGGCTTGTTGGGAAGGGTCCAGACCAGCAGACAGAGCTGTCTCTACCTGCTGCAGCTGGGCACCATAGGTAGCAATGGCAGCTTCTAGGGTTTCTTCATCCATAATGGCACTTTGAAGTTGGCAGTACACAACTCAGCAGCATCAGGACCTTCTATGAGATGGAAGAGAAAGAAAGAAATGGAAGTGGTATCAAGGGAGTGTACCTTAGCTGAGTCATGGGCTGATCAGACAGGTGTCATTATTATCATCCAATAATCCTCATCTTACTGTACTGAACCTAAAGAAAACATCCTATTAAGTGAACTCCACAGTTTAAATAAACTGTTTTTTCCGCTTCGTCTTATGAATAATAGCATTACTCTCTCCCAATAGTATTCTAGTGTGACCTGCTCCTCCTCCTCCAGTCTCCCTACCAACAGCACTTCTGCTTTAAGTTATTATAGCATCTATCCTCCTCCTGTAAACGTTTTTATTCAGAAAGGTTTAAACAGTTTCCTTTAAGAAACAGACAATGGAATGGAGACGACTGTATCGTATTATATCACATATCATGTTATGTTATATTATGTTATGTTACTGTTATATAATGTTCCTTAAAATACCAGCAACAGAAAAATAAATATTAGATCGGCGTATGAAAAATGTTATCTAGTTTACAACAAAAACAACGTTTACTAGTTTAAAACTTGATATTACAGCTAGTGGTAGCTCAATGCTAACAGTGTTACTGCTGTTTTCCATGTGATCGTATAAAGTTCGTCCTACCTTTCTATTGGGCCGATTCTGTAAATTCAAATTTTCCTCATTTGTAATTTAAATCGGGAATAAAATTACATCCAGAAATAAAACTAGGCATACATACACAAAACATAAACACAAGAACCGGTATAATAATGAGCTAGCGGAAGACAAAGTATGGGGAAAATTGTTCAGTCTCCTTGCTTTCAAGATAAAACATTTCAATAGAAGTACTAAATAAGTGCAAACACGCACAAGCAAATGCTTTTATTAAGTGTTGACTTTTGGATCAAACTTGTGTTGTACAATTGAAGTATTAATTATAATATATTTAAAAACATTTACGTCTAAGGTTTCACGTAATGTGCTTTTATTTTGAATATAACAAAACGGAAACCCTTTTGCGTCTACAGGATTATGTCAAAGATGTGCGACTGTTACGCGGGATTATGACGTTACCCTCAGCTAACATCAACTTTATCAATGTGGTTTTATGAGTTCTCCAAATAAAATAAATGTTTTATGGCGTATGTTTCCAAGAAGCACGTTGGCCGATGTTAAGGTAAGTCGAACATTCTGTTTACGCGTGTTTCAGCTTTCGCTGTTTCCTGGTAAATGTTTTCGTATCATTTTGTTGCACCTTTTAGTTAAAATCCGGCAAACAATGTGTCAATGCAGGCATTGAAAAATGCCTTACTATACGTCATGTTTTTAAATGTTGTTCGAAATCAGAACAGCGAAGGTTTATTTTCATGGCCTAGATTAGCTACGTTACTTAGCTAACTTAGCTAAGTTATTTATTTTTAGTGAGCTATGCTGTTTCACAGTAAACAGTATACATTTTTGTAGATAAAAATAGTTTTTGCTCACCAACTGGGTTCTTGAAAAAATATTACCTATTTTCCTCATCATAACAATACTTATTATTAATACTAGCAGATGTACTCTACAAGACAAACTGGACATTTAATACTGACGACAAATGTTAATGCATCTAAGTTTAAAACCCATTGGTTGCCATATCTGTTCACATTTTATTTTCAGCACTAATTTTTTAATTGCTTTAATGGGACTTTTTTTCGCTCTTTCTCTTTATAGTTATTACTTCAGTGATGCCTCCAAACATGGCTCAGATCAGTGATCCAAAGATCGCTTTTGCCTATTTACGTCCAATCTGTGTCCGTCTGACACAAGAGCCTTCAGTGACTAATGTTGAGACTCTGAGTGGTCATTTAAAGGAGGTCAATGATGCTACCCTACAGCAGCTTCAAGAGTATGTCCTCTTTCCTCTTCGCTTTGTCCTTAAAGTCCCTGGGCCTAAGAAGGACAAGTTGGTACAGGCCGTGGCTGAGGCCATGAGCCACGTCCTGGAGAACACTTGTGTCCAGAGCTGGGAAACTTTGCACAACCTGTTTTCAGAGCTTTGCCTCTGCCTCTGCTCTCCAACTGATCCTGGGAAACCTGCTGATACATCAGAAGAGCTCAAACTAGCCTTACTGAGATGTTTGGATGCCCTGCTTCATGCAGCCTATGGTGACATAATCTTCAAACTCTTTGAACCAACCATGCTGCCAGGGCTGGGAGCTGGAGTATCACTGCTGCTGGCTTTAGGTGAGAAGGAGAAATCTCGGGATATCCAGGCTGCAGCGCTGAAATGTATACTGGCTTTAACTCTACAGTGTGACTGCGCTCAAGAGCACATCGTTCCCCCCTTGATGGAGCGACATGCTGTGGGCAGCACCCTGGCTTCATTTTTACCTGGAATTACTTCAACTGCAACCAGAATCATCACAGGAGATCTAAGACAAGGCCATACAGTCACAGTCAGAGCCATAAAGGTATGACACTATCATGTTACACAGCTTTTAATTTATTTTTTGTTTGTTTGTTTTCCAAATCCCAAGTGTCTTTTATAATGAGATTTCACGACCACAGAATTATTATTTATTTTAAATTACAAGTCAATGCATTTTGAAGTTGAAAATTAGTGCAAGAAACTAAATTTTCTTTAGATTTTTAATATTTCCATTTAAATTCTCATAATCTTGGCTTTTAATGCCCCTGTAAAAGATTCACTGTTAGTAAACATGTGTGGAAAATCAAGAAAATAAGCGAATTAGTAACCAAAAGTAAACTAGTATAATTCAAATATCCATATGTATGGCAACAACATAGCCAAAAGCCTACATAAGATGAACAGCTTGTAAAAAAACAAGGTCTTAAAATGATTTCTGTCCTGTACAAAAATAAGGTATTTGTTCACTTATTTTATTCCTTGTTCAGATTTGGTCCAGGGCTGTGGGGCTTGTTTTGGATGATGCTGAGGTTCAGAAGACTAAGCCTCAAAAGAATCCCTCAACAGATCTGGGAAGGATCGAAGAGCTGCTAATTTCTCGAACACAAGAATGGGTGAAAAGCACAGCTACCAAGCTTTCACTGCTGCTCAAGAAAATCATATCGTGCACCTCCGCTCACAGACACTGGAGGGTCCGATTAGAGCTGGTGGAACTGGTGGACCATCTGCTGGCCAGGTGTAGTCACTCTCTAGGAGAAAGTGTGGGACTGCTGCTGGAAGCTCTGGTGGGAGCCATCAATGACGAAGAGCCTAGAGTTAAAAATAGGTTTGATTAAATATATATTGATACTATCAATAATAATCTTAAGATTTTTGCTAACATTCTAATTTTCTAATCTTTCTCTCCTAGATGTGAGGTTGCCTTAAGAGACATATCAGAAAGGAATCAAAGCAGCAGCAGTGGTACTGATGTTACCAGCAGTACTCACAACTTTACTGATGTTCTCTCAGAGAACCTTCACTCTTTGGCCACCTCTTTGCCCAGACTGATGAGAACGTCTGACGACCAGAAGAAACTGTTTGTCTTAAATGTGTTTCTAGGATATTTGAAACTGTTGGGACCACTGGTCTCTGTGGTCCTGAACTCTGCTGCACATCTGGAGAGGATTTCCAAAGCACTGATGCAGGTAAGGAATTCATCCAACACACACAGGAATTCTGTGGATGGTAAATTATATTAGAAATTCCCCAATTTAAGATTGTCATTGTTTAACCTAGTATAAATACATCCATACTATACTAATACTATAAACACAGAGTGAATAGTCCCCCGAACCTGTTGGATGAGGGTGTGGGTATTAATACCATCCAAACAAATAATTTAAACTAATTATAAAATGTTTATGAGCTACATGTCAGTTTCATTTTTGAGAGCTTCTGATGTTGCTTGCTCTTTGTTTCCCACTGAACCCAGTCCTATTAAAAAGGTCTTGCATCACACTGTGCTCATTGTCCAACAAACTCATCATTATAACTTGACAGGTACTGGAGTTGGATGTAATGGATGTTTGCATCATAGAAGAAAGAAGCTACGCCTCTGTCATAGAATCAACCTCAGAATCTGCTGATTTCCACACAGCTCACATAAAGAGGAAACACTTTCTCTACTTTACCAATGAGAAGATCTTCTCTGTGCTCATGGCTATCTGTAGAACCTTAGGTATGAGGACTGCTCTATTTGAATTAAAAAAATTCCCATGCCTTCATGCATTAGTAGTTCATCATAGGAATGTTTAGTGTAAATGCTTGTTGGTCAATCTTACAATCTTAATTTATTATACTGGATGATTCCTCCAGCTTACAGTAACTTCCCCTCTTTCTTTTGCAGGTTATTTTGGTAACATTTATCTCCTGACAGATCACTTTCTGGATCTGTATCGTCAGTCTTCATTGTACAGAAAACAGGCTGCGATGGTGCTGAATGAAATTGTCAAGGGAGCTGCAGGGATGGATGTGTCAGCAGAGAGTCAGGGTCTTCAGAGCGAGGAACACAGGAGCTCTGCTACTTCTACGGCAGACCTTGAAGCAGCAGTGTTGTCTGTCATGGAAGAATACATCAGTCTGAACAACTGGCACCTGATAACTGTCAATGAGGAAACAGACAGTGATCGACAGGATCAACAGGTGGGGTTTTAGTTTCAATGTTTAATCTTTTTTCTTTTTAGTTTAAGTTATTTAATTTGGCTTTTTTCTTCCTCCAGCTGCTGAATCCTCCCACAGTCCACTCCATATCCAACAGTGACTACCGTAGTAATAAAGCAAACTCTCTCCTAGTGGTTCCTTCCATGTCTGGATCTTCATGTCCCTCTCCAGCCTCCTCCACCATCCATCAGCTCAACAGCAACATCTGGCAGCTGTGTATCCAACTGGAAGGCATCGCCTGCTTTTCTCAGGCTCTAGGGCTGGATTTCCATCCCTTGTTGATGACATCACTTTACCCTGTGCTGGAAAAAGCAGGGGAGGAGACTCTGCTGGTAGCCCAGGCAGCATTAGACTCCATGTGGGTCATGAGTAAAGCGTGTGGATACCCATCACCTAAGGAGCTGATTAATGAGAACTCAGACTACCTTCTGAATGACATCTCCCTCAACCTACAGAGGCTCAACCAGCACCCACAGGTAAAGGTCACAAAAGAAAAAACTAAAATAAACAAAAAAATTTTTTTATCTTTGTCTAAATACATTTAGTCTAAACACATTTATTTTATTTATATTGATATGGTTACAGGATTCGGATTGGTGATATTTTTTTGATCTGGTAAAACATTTTTTCATGATCGTGTGTTGGTGTACTAGGCTTGGATCCATAAGTTTCTTCTCCCTTGGCTCTTTGTATCCAGGCTCCACGTGTCCTGACGGTGATGCTGGCTCACTCTGACTGCAGCCTCCTCCCTCTGGTCATGGACATAGTTCAGGATGTTCTGATGGCTCTGGATCTAAGCTATGACCAGACAGCTGCCCTCTTCTGCTCTGTGCTACATGCACTGATGAAGGCAGTAGGTGAGTTTCCCAATAAATATGCCTTTATTCCTTGTTCACAAAAGTCATAGATAATTGTTGAAATATTAATCTGTATTTTTTTGTAAAAGCTTTGATGTCTACTGTCATTGAAGTATCAGCAAAATGTCTGGATCAATTATTTCTATCTAAATATATCTGAATATTACTGTTAAATCATAAAATGAAAGTAACTGAAATAAAAAAAGGAAACTGTGAGAACAACACATTTTGTCAGTAGCAGGGTTTGTACGATCATAGAAAACCTGGAAAAGTTTTGGAAATAGAAAATGCATTTTCTAGGTATTGGAAAAGTTTATGAAAAATAATTTTCTGTAAAAGTTTGGAAAAGTAAGCAATATATTGTTTGGATATTATTTAGGATGCATATAACTAATATAAATAAAATGCAATATATACCAGGCTTGCTTAACTAATCTCCGCACATGGATATTGAGATGCTATATTCCCAGACAACATGCCAGGAAAGTGTAGTTCTAACAACATGTGGCTTTTTATTTTTTGTCTTTTCATTTTTTGATCTTAGAAATCCAATGAAAGGTTATGGAGATGTCATTTAAAAGTCATGGAAAACTGCTAAAAAGTGTACGAACCCTGCAATAGATACTGTTTGTGAGTTGATCTGTGCTCAGCACATGGGTAAAAATTAAGACCCCCTTTCTTCGTTTTCTTGTTATAATCCTACTTTAGTGAGGTGGTTTCCTTCTCGTAACGTGAAGAACAAAGAGTCTGCTGGTCTTCACAAAAACTCCACTGACAAGGGACTCCTTGACATCCGTAAATTCCTACAAGAATATCGCAAAGAGAAGAATCTTGCTGAAGGGATTGGGATAGAAGAGGACAACACTGAGGATCTGGGTAGTTTAAAGTTTTTCAAACATAATAATACTTTTTTGTGTTGGAATGTCACAGTTAGTTGGATCTATCACTTTCTTAATTTCCTAAAGGGTACTTCCAATAAAGGTCTGTCTGTCTATCTACCTCCCTACCTACCTATCTAACTCCAGTATCTATCCGTTGCCTGCTATTATGCTGTTACAGAACATCCTTCAAACGTGGAGTGTGAGGATCCTCCAGATGAAGGTCCTGATGTGAAACCAGAACTTCTCTCTCACCTCCAAATCACCAAAGACATAATGGAACGCTGTATCCATCTTCTGTCTGATCCAAGCCTCAGACTTAGACTCAAGGTACAAGACTGTCTTTACTTGTACTCTAAACTGTTTTCTTATTCAAACTAACAAAGTTGTGCTTCCTCTTTACATTTTTGTAACATTGTAGGTACTGGACGTGCTGGAGCTCTGTGTGTGTGTACTGAGTGAGAAGGAGGACGAGCTGCTGCCTATGGCCCATCGCTGCTGGCCTGCTCTCCTGCAGAGACTGACGGCTGACGACCCGTTAGCTGTTCTCAGAGCCTTCAGAGTAAGAAATGCAAAGTGTCCTTTTTCATTTTACCTAATTTAGTAAGGTTTTGAAACACTGCTCCATGAAAATAGCATTAAAATAATACAATTGTTACTGTTTCTCTTTGCATTATATCATCATGTGTGCATGGGTTTCCTCCACATACTCTGGGTTCCTCCAACAGTCCAAAAATATGCTCATGAAAGTGAAGTAGCCTAGACACAAAAAGTTCACCAAAGGTGTGAACGTGAGCGTCAATGATTGTTGTCTGTGTATGTGGCTCTGTGATGGACTGGTTAACTCTCCATTGTGTATAGGTTTCTCTAACTCCTGTTTACTGCTGGGATTGGCACTAGGCCCTCCTGTAAAGGAATAAGGGCGGATGATGGGGGAATGATTACAAAATATATATATACATGTAACCGGTGTAGCCTCTGCGTCATGCTGCTGTCACCATTGCTTTATTCATCTGAAGGAATTCACATAGAACAAAATAAATTTTCCTCCTGGACACCACCCGAGCCCCTACAAAGTGTACATAAAATAAATATATTGGACAGAATTAAATAAAATGTTGAAAACAAGGAGCAACGGAAAAACACTAACCTCTCCCACAAAGTCCGAAGAAAGAGGGAAAGTTTGGGTATGACTGACTTTTTATATCAAAAATATATACATCAAGTTTCTGCTCAGGGAGGATCAACCCACTTCCATCAGGTAGAACAAATAAAACAATTTTGTGGAATTATAACTACATAACTATTGAATGCTGTTACAGACATATATATAATATATTTATATATATTAGATTATATATAAAGAATATATATACATATATATATTGAGAGAGGTTTTATTTGCTGTATTTTACAATTTACCTACATTATTGGAAATTCAAACCATATCCAGATATGTTATAATGGAAGTTTCTGTAATAAATAAACCTTTTAAATACACTTTTATTTGAAAAAAATGATCACAGTATTATACAGCATAATGAAAATTTTATACACCATATTGTAAAAAGGTAAACTTAAAAATTAAAATTGTTGTAACTTGATCATTTATTAATATATTTATTCATAACAGAATGATCAAAATTATGTTCTGTCATCTGTATCTCTTAGTTATCTTTAGACTCTTTTGTAAAGTACCCTTATTTAATACACTTGCCTGACATGCTAACCCTCTGTGCCAGGTGCTGTGTACTCTGGGTGACACCTGTGGTGACTTCCTGAGAAGAAGAGTTTCAAAGGAGGTTCTCCCCAAGCTGAGTTCTTCACTGTTAGTACAGGCCCCCATCAGTGCAAGGGCCGGACCCATCTACGTCCATACATTAGCCTATAAACTGCAGCTGGCTGTGTTGCAAGGGCTGGGCTCACTGTGCCAGAGGCTGGACTTAAGTAAGTAATCACAGCAAAAATATTAATATCAAGATTATAGATTGTACTCTGTAGACGTAAACTCCACGACCCAAGAGCATTTATTTAGACACAGAAATATAGATGTGAGTGAACTGGAACGACGATCAGTTATGTCACTTTGTGTTTGAGCATGAAGCCTTTTAAATTCACCACCAGATGGCAGTCGTTTACTGTGAAAGAAAATCTCATTCACTCTTTGTCTGGGATCCCTGCTCTGTACATTGTAATTTGAAAACGTGGCTGGATAATATTAATAGGGATTAAATTCAAATTTAATTCATGGAGGTTTTGGTCCTCATGTTCCCTATTGTATGTCAGCGTGAGGCTTGTCAATCGTCCATCAAGTTAATGTATTTTTACTTGAAATCACCACAAAGGAAAATCACCTTTTCTTCAATCACATCTGTTCTGCAAATGCTGAGCAAACAGAGGCCTTCAGAGTTAAAGATAAGCAATGCACCCGATTTCCACGTCATGTAAATCAATTGTATTTTGTATAATTATACCATACTTTCATCAAGTGGTAAAAGTGGTAAAACTTTAAAGACTGTAGATTGTAGATATAGAGAAAAAACAACACAATTAGGAGAAACGTTTTTTATTTCTCAAATAAGCGTTATTAAATAAATTAATGGTTAGCAACCATTAAATTTACTTTTGTGTCACAGGTTGGATCTCAACACTTGTTTTCTTCTTTCTTGAGTGCAGTCACACAACATAGCAGATTTGCAGAACCTCTAGACTGTGGCATTGCTTGGACACAGTTAACCAACCAACCAAAAACCAGGCAGCCTGTAGATCTAATACTTTCACACCTGCTGCAGAAAGAAAATGAATAACTTGTTCAGTCAGCAGATGAAACAGTCAGCCAGGATGCACCAGGGGAAAATAAATGTTTTTATCTGATTATTCTCAGAATTTTTTTTTTCATATTAAGTATTCCTTCACAAGAGCCTGGGGACTCAACAGGGTACCAATGATGTAATTACGAGCTGCTTGTGTAATTTTTCAGTAGTCATTATGTTCATTAAATAGTGACAACCCTGTCACAGTCACACTGGGCTTAGACTGCTGCAATTTTCCAAGACGGCTAAATACTCCAGGGTAAACATGGAGCTAAGAGCAGGTGAAGGAACTGTAGAGTGGGATTATTCCTCTCTGCTTTGGCCGACATTTGTGCAGATTTACAGCAGAGAAGTGGTTTATTTTTAAATTCTAACTACATGCAAGTAGACCTGTCAGCATAAATATATTTTTTGGACAGCGTGTTGCCCCAGAAAATATTGCAATTAATTATATTATTACAGAAGCTGTGGTTAGGTTTTTCCAAAAAATGCAAAGTGTCTAATGCTGGCAAAACCTGATTCTCTTTTTCACAGTCATAGTAGTAAACCGAGAAAATATCTTTGAAAATCTGCACATACATCATGACCGGCCGAGAGAGAGAGAGAATATGATGCTTATTTGCTGCTGTAGAAAATCGTGGTTACAATTAGTCTGGAATTACTGCAAACATGTCTTGGAATTTAGTCGTAACTGCAGTTATGTCAGATTAATGTACTGGGGAAAAAACAAATATTTACATTTCTGAGTCACATGACTTTCAACAGTGGCTAAAACTAATATGTTATTGATCTACTTTGGGTAAGATTTATGTGAAGAAATGGGAGGAAACTACCCTGCACCGCTACTGCGGCCTTGTAGCTACAGAGTGGTTTCTGTAGTGATGGAGTAAACATGTGACTCCCTGAGGCTGAAGCTCATCACTGTCAGATGAAAAGTTAGCGTCTGGTGTCACCATGTGTCACAGAGATAGCGCGTCTGTCTGTGGAACTCCCCAGGGCAACAGCAGCGAGGAGGACAGTAGTGTGGGAAGAACAGGGGAGAAGAAGAACAGGGGAGTCAGGAGTGACAAAGGACCAGGAGGAAGAAAAGAAAATTCAGAGATGGATATTTCAACTTATATATAATAGAGTAGCTCAACGGCCTAGCTTATAATAACCTGACCATTATGTGTGTGAATAATTGTTATTATAAGTGGACGTTAGCACTGCCATTACCTGCAAGCACATCATCATGCAGTGACTCTAATTCCTGGGTTCTTTGAGTTACTGCCTCACTTCACTTCATTTTGTCAGAACTTTCTGAACTCCCTTTATTTCCTCATGAGTGAAAACAACATCAGTGGGGAAGCAATATGTTCCAAAAATCATATCTCCATATTATTCAGAAGCTGTTTTGTAGAATTTGCCAAAATTGTGATTTCATAAAAGTTTTAGATGGCTTAAATGTTAATCAAATGTTTAAAATTTCTAAAAAAAAAAGATTATTTGTAAATCAATCTAACTGGATTTGCTGGATTACATTTTTCAGGGGGGTTTCAGCATTTCAGCAGTGGTTTAAATTCCTGGTCCATGTAACACTTCCGGCCTACAAACCCCAACATCTGGCCTGTGACTAGATGCCAATAATAATTATATTTTATAATATTACATTTTTGGAGCTTTATTTGGTTAGTTCATTCAAATGCTTTAGGCGGAAAAAAAAACTTTGATTACTAATGTAAACAGTCATTTAGAATTGAAATGTCCTTTTTTATTTTTGTTT